ACATTCATAGAGTCAGTTACTACCTACCTCGACTCTCGACCTATGAATGCCGTAATACGAGCCCAATCACCACCTGTAGAAGAGACGGAGCTTCAACTGCTACGAGAGACCCGCGTTACCCTGGCTCAATTACGGTCTGGATACTGTAGCCGCCTTAACAGCTACCTGTCCAGACTCGACCCCAATGCCCGGCATGTGGAGAGTCCCCCCACGACACCAACCACCTCTTTACATGCCAGCTCAATCCGACTCAACTAACACCCCTCTCCCTCTGGTCCGAACGGCCAAAATTAACATCCGTTAAATGTATCTAAAGAGAACCACATTCTCTTAAATAGTACACTTTTTCCGTTTTGAACCACATATGTATGTTTATAATAAAAAATTTAGTACTGCAACTAATCAGTTTTTTTGTGTTAATTTATTATTCTGTTGCTTCTAGCTGTAGCCAACTTGAAAGAGTAATGCTCCAAAATGTGTTGCTTACAAAGTTTCAGTGATTTATAAAACACTGAAAAAACGAAATAATGGAAAAGTTTTATCTATATACGAATAACGCTTGTTTAGTTAATTATAAACGTTATTTCCAAATTGTGTAAGTAGCTGAAAACTAAGTAAATTATGTACGTTTTAATATGAGAAATGGTAATACGTGATAAATTAATGCAGATCTTATCCAACGCCGACGTCTTTGCTAAGGCAATCTAACTTTCATCATCGCTGCCCGCGGCCTGTCTAGGCTTTGGTCCGCCAGCGCGTTTCGCCATTATAATTTGATCGACCTTTAGAATTGTAGTGGCAGCACCTACTGCATATTTCAGGGCCCAGTATTTCGCTTGAAACAGATCGTAGATTTGTGTTTTAGTCACATCGATAGTATCTGCTTTTTCGGTCTCAATATTGAAGCCAATATTCTTTCCACTGGACTTTTTGTGTGCAAGATACAGCGCATTTACAACATCGGTACCATTCACACCAGAGTTTTCAGCCAAAGCTTTTGGGAATGCTTCCAAAGCGGTTGCGAATTTACGCACAGCATACTGCTCTAGGCCGGGTAGGGTATCAGCATATATAGCCAGTTGCGAGGCCAATTCGATTTCAGTGGCACCAGCACCAGGCACATATCGTCCATCACGCGTCAAGCCCTTGAAGTTATTTACACCATCATCCACAGCACGTTCAATGTCATCCATGAAGTTGTCGGTGGCGCCACGTATGACAATGGAGGAAATACGGGCATCCTTGCCTTCGTTTCTGAAAAAAGTGCCGGTAGATCGTTTTGCTAAATAAGAAATAAATTTTTTAAATTGCCTACCTAAAAACCACAGCAGTGGTGCCGCCCAGCTCTTCAACACACACTTTATCGCAGTAGCCCAACTCTTCGTTGGTGGGTGTGGTGATGCGCGGCAGCACAGTGGCATTTACTGTGCGACTTAAACGGCGTAAGTCAAATTTGGAGTTCAAACGTATAGCCATCAGATTGTATTTATTGATGAAATGTAAGGCCATATCACCCACTTTGCCGCCGCAGACGACCACTTTAATACCGGCATCGGCAAGTCCTTTAATTTGGGCCTCAAGTAAACTCTCTTCACCAGCAGAGAAATTCATCAACTCATCAGCGGACTTTATTAATACAGTGCCTTTAGTTTCTGTCTGTATAATGTCGATTGGGCATGAGAATACTGCCACCTTGGCTTTCTCCGCAAAAGTGACATCACCTTCGACATAGCGTTTGAACACCATACCATGTACGACTTCAGATTTATTCAGTCCGCAGCCCAAAATTTTGCAAACACGGATATTATCTACATTAAAGGTGCCTTGGTCTGGTAGTATCGCAACACAGGCCTTTGCTACCAGTTCGGTAAGGAAATCTTCCTGTCCATATTGTTTTGACATTATAGCTGTTTTAAGGCACTCTGTGACTTTATTCACATCGCGGTAGTCCTCAATTTCATGGCATACAAGTTTAGGAAGAATTTCCAATGCTTTTTCCAAAGCTTTCTCATAACCATCAGCAATTTCAGAGGTAGTTATACCCAACCGTAGGAGCTCCTCGGCAGCTTCAAGTAGTGCACCCGCAAAGATAACAACGAAATTAGTGCCATCGCCTACTTCGGCGTCCTGCATTTGGCTACCCATGACAATGAGTCTTGCCGCTGGATGTTCTACATCCAATTCCTGCATGATGGTGCCAGCATCACTGGTTACAAATTGTTTGTCAATGTGATTGATGACCATTTTGTTCATGCCGTTGGGACCGTAGGCGGACCGCATTGTCTGCGCAAATTCTTTACAGGCAGTGATGTTACGATAGACGGCCTCCTCTAGACCACTGTACATCTGTTGTAACGAATTAAGAGCATGAGTACATTTTTGTAAAACAAAATGATGATTTAAAAAATTATATGTAAATTTATGACTAATGTGACTAATTAATAGTCGCAGATGTAGGGGAAGCCGCACGCTGGCCATTTTTTTTTTGTTAGCGCAGCCGCTTTTTCAATTGAGCTACAAGCAAAATTTCTGTATTTATGTGATATTTTATCTTACCCGGGCGCCATCCTTTAGCATTTGCGCGACTCCTGGAGCTTTTGGTACGGATAAAGCCATTTTTGTTCACAGATTTTTGGAATCACAACGTTGAGAAATAAACCGAATGAAAAGTTGAGAAATTGTAACTTTAACCTCAAACACGCGCATGAAAATGACATTTAACTTAAAAGTGATCATTCTCAGTAGGTAACAATTTATTGTGAACGCCAAGCAAACAGTGATGCCAGATTTGCGTAATTTCCATATTTGAGGGATATTTTGAAACAAAAATTATTAAGAGCAAAGAACGTAAATGTATAAGAAGAGACAACTCGTTACTTTGAAAATGTGCCGGCCCGATTTTGACCGTATCTGAAAGGTTGAGATGAGGAGTTCGTCTCCCTTTTGACTCTGTCCGCGGCAGATTTTTGATTTTCGCCTCGAATGCGGAATATGCCAGCAAAACAGAAGAAAAGCGGCAAATGTGTGTGAATTTCTGTGGTTATTTGCACAAGTGGTTGAAAATATGCAATTTAATTTAGAAAATATATAAATTATGGTGTGAAATATAGAATATTCAGTGCTTGTGTAAAATACGGAGGTGCTTGTATGTGAAAGTGTCTATATTAATAATAAAAAGGTGTTTGTGAGTGCAAAGTGTTCGTCAACAAGTGTCGATTGTCGGTG